TTTAATTTGGTTTGTGAAGGGCATAGAGCATTTAACCTCCGTTTGTCAGAATATAAGCTGGTGACTTCTGAGCAACTTGATCCTGCGGGCTTGGGTTTCCTGCATGGAAGATTTATTGGCAAAACTTCAGCTGATAAAGGGAGCTTCAGGCAACTAGTAATCAGTCTTCTTTTCATGAAGCAAAAATGAAACACGTGCCCAGAAGAGCTTCACAGGGGAACAGCGGTGTGCCACATCTGCTCAGGTATCCGGTGGCATTTTTTCTCCGTTCACCCTGTTTTGCTGAGATCTTTGGCTGCTGGAAGACGAGTCTCTCCCTTGCCCTTTGGGACCAGACTAGAACGTGTAGGAAGTGCATCCATTTCTTGGATGCTGCTCCCTATCAAAGGTTGTCTCTCAAGTGTCTGTGCTTCTGCTGGCTTTGAGCAGGTCTGAAAGTTTAGTAGTACATAAGAGCTCTGTCCCCAGCCTGAGAATTGTGGGGTGCTTCCTGGGCCTGATTGTGACTTGCCATAAAATCAGTCACGGAAATTTGATTGCATTAAAGGCTTCAGGCGTCGCAAAGTCCTGCTTTATTTGTATTTCATTTTCTCTGGGTATTTGCAGTGGTACATCTATGAGGCTTGTAGCATTTTAATCCTGCACTAAACCTTTGCACTGATACAACTGGTCTGCAAAAGGTGCTTGGGAGATTTTTTCCCTGAAAATCAGAACAAGGAGAAAGGACTTTTCTGGGGAAGAAAACAGGAACGCTGGAAAGATTTTCTGAATCTTTCTTTCATTGCAGTGTCCTCAGGCTAAACTGGTGCTGTGGTAGAAAGGTCAGCTGGGAGGAAGGGATTTGATATGGCTGGGTTTTGAAGAAGTAGGAAGTGTTCCCTTTGTTATGGTGGTTTGATCTCTTCAGTAACAGACACGTAGGCCTGCTGCATTTCACTGGTCCTTCTGGAGGAGGGTAACGGAGCAGAGCAGCCAGCAGATTAGCAGGCAGAGCAGCAAGCGGGGCTTGTAGGAGCAGCTGCACAGGAAAAAAAAAATCAACTCAATTGACCGCTGCCACATTTATTCTTTTGTGTGGTATTTGAGCTTGTTTAGTCGGTGGGAGAAGCCTTAGGAGATGGTAATATGGGTTGGGCAGCTACTCAAGGAAATTCTGGCTTTTTAGGGAGGAAAGCCCTACTGAAAGCCCTGCGGGGGGCTGGAGGTGCAGCTCTTTGTGAATGCTCAGTCCCACTGGTCCCCAAAATAAGGTGGGAACTGGGAGGGAGGAGGCAAGAGGGGGGATGGAAAGAGAGAAAGGGGTCTGGTCGTGTGGCACTCCACTCTTTTTTTTTTTTTTTTTTTTTTTTTTCCTGGATGATTCCCGCTTTCCTGTTTTCAGGCAGAAACAGCAGGTGCTTCCTAAGCCCATAATAAATCCCACGGACCGGCAGGCAGTGAGGCTTGGGGGTGGCAGAAGCACTGGGGAAACCAGGAGGGCAATTTTTGGAAAGGGCTCTCTGAACTGGGAAGGCATTGGCTGTAGGTGCAGTGAGAGCAGGAGCAAGCTCTGGGTGAGTAAAAAGATGAGCTGTGGATAGAAAAAAAAATAAATTAGCTCTTAAAAAGCTGGTTTTAATTACAATGATGGCATTTAGGAGAGAAAATTTGATAGGTAGTTACGTTTTTCCTGTTTAATTTCAATGAAAAAAATCACTGCGTCTTAACCAATGTAAAGGCCATTGGTGTTTATAGAAGGTATTTTTATATGGAGTGTTAGGATATATATCTATCTATATATTGTAACTACAAAAGAGGTTTGAAAGCACTTCGTGTTACACTTGCTGGACTAAAGTCCTTTTCAAACCAAGCTTTTCTTTTACAAGTTAGGATGTTGTATGCTTTTTAAGACTAAGAAAGCAAATCAGGATTAAAAATTAACTTCATATACTGCTTAACCAAATAATTTTTTTAGCTGGGACTTAAAATGAATATACTTTTTTCTTTCCCTTTCTTTTTTTTTCCTTACTATATACCAAAAGGTTCAGTTTCAAGTCTTAGTACTGATACAGAACTGTCAGCAAGATACAAACATCCACAAGCACTCACTGCAGGTTGGAGGGCTTCTGGTTTTGTCATAGTGTTACTGAAATATCGGATCAATAACTCTGTAAACCCAATTGATTTCACTCTTTTAGCTTACAATAGCAGCAAACCAGACCATTCATAGTCCCTGAAAATCTGGAGGCTTTACTACAGCAGACCTTTCACTCTACAATTAAATTAGGTAGCCAGTGATTTGGAGGTTAGAAACAATCTCGATCAGATGATTTAGTTGAATTAAGTGCTCGGACTCTGGTCTGCAGACTTCCAAATAGGCAGCTATTTGGAAATCCACGCACAGTTCCTCAGTTGCTGTCCGTGTTTTTGCCTAACTTCTCAGTGACAGCATGTTTTCAAGGAGCAGGACGCTTAAAACGAGGACTCTGTGTCCAACCAGGACTTTCCAAGAATATTCTGGTTTATGCCCCCAGATTGAGAGAACAAGACCTTTGTCATGAACTGCCGTGATGCCAGAAGATTGCTTACCTCCTATGGGCTGTGGGGGAGACTGACAGAATATCATTCTTCCTGGAAGATATCTGCTCTTCCTAGGGAACAGGCTGGGCAGGAATAGGGCCCAGGAGAGTACTGGGCTGTTGAGCAAGTTGGGCAGGGCATTGGGAGCGGTGGCTTTTATGCAACGAGAAACCAAGGGAAGGAGTTGAGTTGCGCATCTCGCTTTTCCTACCAGAGGAAAAATCTGGGGACACTGAGATGTATTAAAACAGTTTATTGAGGATTTTTTTTAAAACAAGATGGCATTATTCATCTCCCTGCTGTACTGACAGGGATGCTGGAAGCTGTGGTGAGTCCAGCACTAGCTTGCTTGGCATTTTCCACACCACCGACCCTGAAACCTGAAGCCAGCACTTCATCCAGCGTGTCTGCTGGGGGTCCCGGGCTCCCTGCCGAGGTCCCTGATGGCAGGACGATGTACGTTGGCTCCCTTGGAGCCAAACTGCTGGATATCAGCGTTCCCTCATTTCACTGAGTTCCTGGCGGGAATCCCAAAACACTTTGATCTCTGCTATTTTGTTCTGGGTTTTAATCAAAACCTCTTTAAACGGAGAAAGTGCCAGCCAGCCAAAGCTGGTCCCGATTTCTATTTTCAGCTCCAACTCTTGCTAAAACCTCTGCCTGTTTGTTCATGTGTGACAGCGGTGCCCAAAGTCCATATAGAGCCAAACACAAGAATAGGCAGCGTCACAGTCAAAAATACTTGAAAATACGTATTAAGATACTTATTTCTCCAAGCTGTCGCCAGGCTTTGTTAATCATTTCACAGTGCTCTCGGCTTAGGGTTTGATGTGTGGATTCTCGCTCAGTAAAATGTGTGTCAAACGCCGACAGTCCTAGTGCCATTCATATTTATATTCAGTAATGAGTCAGGCTCTTGAAAAATCATGTTCAAATTACATGTTCTGTAGCTTTAATTTCCTGTTGCTAACAAGGGAATGATTTGCAATTTCTTGTTTGTCCTCCTCTATCCCATAGTCTGGAAGCATTGCTCTGTTGCCATGCTGAGTTTCACAAGCAAAGCTGCCTTTTTTTGTAGCGTCGAGTTCCTAAATCTCACGGCTTTCAGCGTTTCTCTCTAAAAAATACTTTTGGCGAATCTGAACGGTTTTATGCATGTGTACCCTAGTGCAGGATTTGAAGCAGAAAAGCCTCTCAGAGACTCAATTACTGTAGGACCAATATATATTTATTGCAGCGGTACTACAGGATTAGCCTGCAGTGTCTGAGAACTGTGGTGCATTCCTTCTTTTTCCCCCAAAACCCTCCTAGAAATCAATACCAATATATATTTATTGCAGCGGTACTACAGGATTAGCCTGCAGTGTCTGAGAACTGTGGTGCATTCCTTCTTTTTCCCCCAAAACCCTCCTAGAAACCTGTACCCAGAAAACTGTTTTACGTAGCATTGTTTATATCAAAAGTTCAAACTCTGGCTCTGCCCGTCTCATTTGTGCTTTTTCTCCTCCTATACCTTCCTTTTGCCTGAAATGAGGCTTTTTATTCCTTAGCAGCATCGTTTAATTCTGATTCCTTTGGAAGAAACTCCAATAGGTGCAGTATGGTAGGAGGGGAAGTAGGACAGAAAGTGGCATCTCCTGGTAGCCAAGCAGTGGGCAGGCTAACAAAAGACTTGATGGGCTCAACTATGCTTTATGAAGATCCAAAAGCAATTTGAGGATGTTTTCCCAGAACCCATTTAGGCTGTCACCGTAGTATCTGAGCGTATCCATTTTAGTGGATTTATCTTCCCAGTCCCCTGCAGCGAGGTAGGAATGCTGTTGGTCCCTTTGATAAATGGAGAAGAGAGAGTTTGACTTGTCTAGGGTTATGTGCCGAGCTTGTGGCAGAGGTAGGAGTTGATTCCACATCGTGTGTGGCTCAGGTTCCTTCCAGCCTCCTTAGGTTAAAAAAGGAGCTGAACGTCTGACACAGGAGAGACGTTCAGTGCTGTGAAAAGGTAGAGAAACGAGCACTAAGGGAAGTGCTGCTGTGTTAGTAGTTGCTGCTGTGCTAACGGACCGCTAGTGAAAACCAAGTACCTCGCTACTGCTGGCCTCAGAGGATGCTGTTAAGCACGGCTGATTATTTGTTTAAGGGTTTATTTCCATTTAATGCCTTGGCCTGTGTACTGTAGCCGTTCTAGGGTCACCGTGTGTCCTGTGTGGTGGTTGCTGCTGGGTCTGAAGGGGAGAGGTGAACCACTGCAGTCAGCAGCAGTCAGCCAAACTGTGGCTGCTGACCGTAAGGTTTAGCTCATCTCCTCAGCCTAAGTGACCAGACCATCACGCTCATCCTAGATGCATGCTGGAGAAGCTGGTCAGTGTAGTACATGAACATACGTGAACATGGAGTGATAAGATGTTGATATTAAACTTTCTTTCCTTACCTTCTTGAAACAGCTGGTGAAAGGGCTGCAGCAGGAGCTGAACCGGCTATACACACTCTTCTGCTCCCGGAATCCGGAGTTTGAGGAGAAAGGAGGGAAAGTCTCGATTGTGTCCCACTCGCTGGGCTGCGTCATCACCTACGACATCATGACTGGCTGGAACCCAGTCAGGCTTTACGAACAGTTGCTGCAGAAGGAAGAGGAGGAGCTTGAAGACCGTTGGATGAGCTACGAGGAGCAACGTTTACTTGAAGAACTTTACATAACTAAACAACGGTAATGCATCCACTTCTGGTTATTAAAGGAGAAAACCACATCCCTAGATGATGACGCCCTTTGAGTGTTTCCCGAACCCACCGTGGCTGTTATCTTTTGTGGATGATGTCCTTCTGCTGGTGCTGAATGGCAGTGGTAAATGCTAAACCCAGGACTGAGCAGGCACAGGGAGCTGGCACTGCTAACAGGAGCTCTGAACCCACATCCTACGGGCCGTACCAGAACCAGGCACCTAGCTACTGCTCACTGACCACATGCACGGGGAGCAGATCATAGCCAGGAAGAAAGGAGAAGGTCAGGCCATTAGCCCTCCAGGTACTTGAGGAGAAACACAACAAAGTAGCTTGCAGGCGGGCAGTGAGCTGTAATGCTGAGCAGTGAAATTCCTGAGTGTCTAGAGGAAAACGAGACGTTTTCTGCTAGGCTCAGCTTGGAAATTGAGCTCCACCAGCTGGATACAGATGTTGTCATTGCTGTGACTGGGCTTAGGGGGTTGCTGCCCTGCTGTGGATCATCTACCAGCTTCTTCCAGCTGCCATCTAGAAACGTTCATGCTGTTTGGAGTGCAAAGCAGCCCTGCCCACTGTGACAAACAGGATCTCAGTTTCAGCACCTTGCAAGTGTTGGTAGGGATTCTCAGTGTCAGGGGACCTTGCAGATCATCACGATGTCTCCACAGTGTTAAGGTGACTTCCCTGTCATAACCTGGATATCAAGGTGCTATGAGACACCCGTAGCTAGAGAATCTAGTAACAGTAGCTCGAGCTTCAATCTTTCAAGTGGGAGGTGATGATAAATCATGATCACAGTTCTCTTTGGGTTGTTCATGAAACCTGTCTTAGTATTGGCGGTACTTTGGAAGCATTAATATAGCATCAGATCTCCTGCAGTGCTCAAAATCAGTATGTGTGTCATTAGGGATTGGTACAGGACATCTCTGTCAGCTGCAAGGCTGGATAAAGTGCAGTATTTCTGAGAGAAAGGGAGTTAGAAACCTAATGAAGTTGTCCAGTGGTGAGACGACCCTTCAGGCATATCGCTAGCATATGATCAAGGAAAAATTACCATTTTCACACTTATGCTGCAGCTCTTTAGACACCCTCTGAAGTGCTTGGGGTTGCATCCACAGTAACCCAAGTATCATTTGACACTGGCACTTGTGTATACAAAGAGTGGCTCTCCATTCCGTGGGCCACCTTAGTGCAATTCGGTCTGAAACGGTAGAAAATACACGGCTGACATCCTGTAACTTGGGTTGGCAAACACACAGTGGATTTCTGGAAATGCTTATGCCTGAGTGGGGTGTGTCATAGCATGTATAAATATCCTACATTGTAGAACAACATACATAGAGCACGTGAGGCTGTGTGTTGGAAACCCTCGACAGCAGTTCACGAGTCAAGACTTCTGCGTGCCGTCTTTGTTAAGACTGAATCACGTTCATTAAAGCATACAAGCTTTTTTGAAAGTAGCGGGAAGTCTTTGGGAAGTTTCAGCTCCAGACTTGCTTCTTTCTAATCAGGATGGCAGCGGTTAAGCTTAACATATTTGTTTCCGTAATGCTTTTGTGGTACTTGAGGAGATGGTGTTTTCCTGCTCTGGAGAGGGCATAACGTTCTGGTGCTGGGATTGGGGGCCAGTTTAACCAGTCCATATGAGCGCTATATATTGTAGCTGCTTTTTTAATTCAGGCTAACTAGAACAGGGGAACCTTTTTAATGATAGTTGAGAGGGTGGGACACTGGCCTCTAGATGTTGCACCGCAATACAGACCTTCGTAATGCTTGGGCCACGGAGTTTCCCGCAGCTTTGGTTTTTTTTAGAAACCAAACCAAAAAACCAAACCAAAACCAAACACCCAAAAAACCCCGCAACAAAACCAAACAGGTGATTTGGCTGCAAAAACACCAAGGAAACAGGAGGTGAGTCACCTCCTTGTGAGGAAGGAGGGTGGGCAGATGCTTGGGGTGGCGAACAAGGAAGCTGTCACGTCTCGATTGATTCCTTCTGTGGTCAGAGAAACAGGACTGCACATACGTTGATTCTTAATCAGCTGGACTGCCTCCAAGAAATACTGACAGCACCAACAGACAAAACGGTTGGACCCCCCAGGAATGGCTGTTTGGATCAGAGAGGTTAAGGCTACGTTTTTTATTGGATCTCAGAAAGATCTCTATTTTCTAGGTTGAGAGAGATAGAAGAGAGGTTACATGGGTTAAAGGCATCCACCATATCAAAACCACCTGTCTTAAAATTTAAGGTATGTACGTTCGAGAGGTTTTTACTGAATGTGCTACTTGCTGTAAAAATACACCTGCAATATGAGTTATTCTGCTTACTATTTATTGCCCGTGTCCCTAGACATGATGTTGGTAGAATAATTTTAATGTATTGGTTGAAGTGTGTGTACGTGTGTGTAAACATGTTACTGTGTCCACATATTACTATTTATTACAAAGATGTATGTTTATATGTAAATATATAAACCTGTGTGTAGATTGTTAATGTTACACGTGCACACGTACAACTGTGTGGGAAGGTAAAAGCCATTTGGCAAATTACATTAATCACTTACCTTAAACAATTTCACTTCTGCTTTGTTGATTAATCCATTTTCCTTGGGCTCTACTTCTAACATGTCACATCTCTGAGCAAATCTGATTGAATTTCCTTCAGCAGTGGATTTTCCTTTCACATTATTCTGGTCTGGCCGCGCAAGTTACTTTTCATCTCCTGAAACAGATCAGCTGTTCAAATTGCTAGAATTTCTTATCACTGGGAAAAGGCATTTTCTAGCTTCTTGGTGGGATGTGCAACACTTTGTAGTTGCTCGACTATATCCTGAAATATTAAACCATAAAAATGTGACATGATAGATGAGAACAAAATAGATTATTGGTTTTTAACTTGACATTTTTCTTTCCTTATGAGTTCAGAAGGACTCCTAGAAGACAAGCTCAATCTTGAGCCATAAAAAAGAGGAAACTAACCATAATTCAATTTGTCATAGCCTTCTTCTTTTCATCACTGCTTAAAAGCATGTATCGTGCTATTATCTCTACCATCAAGGAAGCTGGAGTCAGGCTGATATTCCTCCAGCTCTGTGAAAGATTGTTCTTCACTCAGTTGTGTTTAAACTGAAGATTTTTTGAACAGATGCTTTTTAGAGGGAGAAGGCAAGGAGGAGAAAAGAAATTGGGGAGAACAGAGGACTGTATCTCTCTAAATTACTGCTAGGTAATTTTCCGTTGCAGTACATCCTTTTTCCTACCCTTACGGAAAGGAAGATGTTTTGTTTCTGTGAAACTCTCCGTTAGTGACTCCCATTGCTTGAGTACCGTGCCTGAGACGGAGCTCCAGAACGAGAGAGGCTTTCCGTGAACGTGATGGCAGAGTGCTTCTGCCAAAGGAGGAGTTCCGCAGGATGTCATTGAAAGTCACTTGCTCATCAGCAAGCCAGCCCAGCTTGCTGAGGGTGACTAGCTTGTTGAAAGAGAGCTAACTGCTTTGTAGGTACCAACGACCTGCACCTTGGCTCTTCATGGCAGACCAGAGCTCTGGTTTGATCGTGAGTTGCTATGAACTACAAATGCGTAATCCACCGATTACTTTGGTCTGTGCGAGGCAGGAGGCTGGAGGCTTTGGTCACTGATCTCCTTAGGCTGTGTTACACGGCAAAATGGGCACGTACTGCTGTGATGAAGAAGGCTGGCCACTGTCCGTGTGTTGCCTCTTTTATGGACTGAACAAATTAAGCTTCCCAGGATGATGGAAAGCAACTAGTCCTACATCAAGCAGAGTTAAGCTTGCTTGATGTTGAGCAAGGACGAAGGTAGCTTTTGGCAAGACAAATGTAAGAATCAATACAGCAGCTAACTTAGCTGTTATTTAATATTAGAGAAAATTACCTGCGTTTAACTGACCCTTTGGGGAGGGAAAAAAAAAATAAATCTTGAAGGTATGGAGTGTCTTGTACTCTAAAAATGTATTGGACAAGCCACCAGAATGAGAACTTGAGGGTGAGCTATCTTTATGGCGCTCTCCTCTACTTCTCCTCAAACGGCACAATTGAATAAACTGGGAAATCATTACGACCTGCGTGGGTTAAAAGCAAAGCCAACACCCCGTTGTAAGTGTAAAGCTTAGAAGCACAGACTCCTCCCTACCAGCTGTGTAAGAGGAATCGGGGTTAGAGGCTAAATGGGCTGAAGAACGTGAAAGCATGGGGAATGGTGTGATACCTACCTCTTTGTGACTGTGCTGCATGAAAATATCCATGTTGTAGGACGATTTTCAGTCACAGTAGGGAAGAGGAGGGCAGGACGTACCTCAGTTGCTTCCTAATACTGAAATGGAAATTAATTTAAATCTGGACTTGTCTGTGTGCTTCCCCAAAGTGCTTCAGGATTCCTTAGCACTTCTCATTCATCCAGGGTTACAGAAGCTCTTCTGGAAGAAGCTCCAGCTTGTATTTGGCCTTGTGGTTTCTGTGTGGGATCATCTGACAGTGATGTCAGTGTTGCGATAACAACTATCACAAATAATTTATAAGATACTGGTGATTTACTACATGCACAAGAATTATGAGAGCTTAATGGGATGCTGACATGCAGCCTTATCTGAGAGGGGGAAGCCTTTACACTGGAAGCAGCAATGTGCCATGGTAGTTCAACACGCAACCGCCCAGTTAAATTCCTCATATAACACCGGTGAAAGTCTCTGTTCCTTCTGTCCACTAAGGCTGCAGAATGTTCCTGGGTGCAGGAATGGGTAGAGGCTGCTGCAAAGGTTTGTATTTCCTCGCTCTGGGAGGATGTTTGGGAACCTCCAAGCTGAAAGGCAGCACAGACACGTAAACTGTAATCACCTTCTGTGTCTGTTCATTTGCCCCCCACACTTACCTATGCACAACGGAGCTGCGCTGCCTCACTTCTGTTGGCTCATTCGGCTTTTTTTAAATTCTGAAGATACTGCAGCCTTAAGTTGAATGGATGACTGTTTGGCTCAGCTTCTGCTTAAAGTACAAATAAATGCATTAAGTCTTCTGTTTATGAATCATACCCAGGAGAAAAGTGTTACCCTGAAAGGTCATGTTCTTAAACATGTCTTCTCTGTTGTTAAACATTTACGGGAATACATGTGAAGTGCCTCACTCCCGCTTCTAGGAGAAACACCAACACTAATAAATGTTTTCTCAAAAGGTTTTAGTCCTCTGTTCCCAGTACGTTTCATCGCATGGCAGTCTTCTCTTCAGCCACTTTGCAACAGCACTCACAGCTTTAATGGCTGCAATTTAAAGGAGTTTATTTTGGGGAGACTTAATTTTGATTTTTTGCATTTACTGCTTTGGTACCGGTCTGGTGCCACCCATTAAGGTACCCACCGATGGGTACTTGGTCTTTGTAAGCATTTCCAGAGCTGGAAGACCATGTTGAAAGGCTTGCACATGTAAGAAAATACGTAGCAAAGAACAGCGCCCTCCGAGAAGAAAGCATCCGTCTGTGGACGCTGTTAATCTTGCGTTTATCAAGAGAAACGATGGAATAAAAGCCACGCGCTATGTAACCACCAAAACTATTTACCTTTTGAGATTTTTCCCTAGTCTGTAGTTGCCTAAGGTGAATTCACAAAAACATCTTTTAAGCATCTGCTGGCAGTCACTTTCTGATGTCTTACTGAAGCAGAAGGACCGTAATTGTGTATTCCAGGCGCTGGATACAGGCGTATCAGATGGACGGGGCTAAAGGTTACTGATTCAGTTTAAAGGATTGCACTGTGAATGTCTGTTCTATTGTATTTGAAGATGAGAAAGCTTTTTGTCCAAACTGCAAAGATGTAAAGGTCTGTGTAAAACCTGATGATAAGGAAGGAGAGCAGCTCTGCACTAGAGTGACAATATAGATGACAGAGCAGTGCTTTGCAGCATATGACATTGAATAGCTTTGCTGAAGACCTAGATTTCTTTTTTTTTTCACCCCATTGCATTGGGACTTGCTCATTCTTCTGGAAGGACGCAGTGGGGTACCAGTGCCAAGTCAGAGGAGGAGGAATGTTTTGTGCAGTGCTGGAATCTGATAGATGAAGCGGGCCATTATTTCTATGCCCTCGCTCCCTGCGCTGACATATAGCGAAGGCACGTGGGAATCCAAGCGTCCTCCACGTGCACTTAGCAAGAATGCAGCGATTTCTCTTGCTGGTTAAGTGGCAGCGCACTAGGAGTTGCTCAGTTGTAGTGCCCTGCGAACTGGGAAAGCTGCAGTGAAGGTCTGATAACGGTAACATTAATTTTTCGTGTAAGAAAATAACCTTAACTAGAGGTTAAAAAGTAATTTTGACTGATGAAAATATTTTTGACTACAGAGTTTTACATTTGATGTTTCTAGGAGACGATGTCTGAGGATTGGTAATGGGATACGAAGCCATTCACCTCTAGGTCACTGTTGAATCCCGGCCCAGGTTGGTAGTGACCAGAAGTCGTTACCACTGCTGCATGTTCAGTGACCTTTGTCAGATGGCTTAGCAGCGGCAGTTCAGGTTGACTCGGCTGGCTCGGGTTGCCTCGGCTGCCTCTCAGGGTTAGAGGCTGTCATTGTAGAGCAAAGTCACGGTAGCTTTGGATGACGTGAGAGTAGCCCGCGGTGTCGCTCAGGGTGCTGTACCTCTTCTGGGTAGTGGTTCCCAACGCGTGACGTGGTGGCACTTTTCACAAGCACCGTTCTGTTCACTTAACGCTAGGTGTTTTTAAGAGGCGGCACATAACAGCAGCCTGTCTCTGTGTGTGTGACTACTTTAAGTATTCTCTAGGTTGTCTTTAATAGCGTAGGTTGCATTTCTACTTCCTCAATGGGTGTGTGTAGCAAAACAAATCATGGGGTACTTGGTTAGGGTGAGATGAAGGAGGTGTGGTGAGCTTCCAAAAGTTTCATGAGAAATCGGGCTTCAATCTTGTGAAACTCAGTACATTTCTTTAGTGTCTTCCAAATTCTTCTTACTCCAGCCTTTCCAATGTTGGTAGCTCTCGTTCAGTTCAAGTGTCCGACTTGGTTTTCAGCTTTCCAGTTGTGTAGCACCACAACATGTTACTCTCTTCTCACAGCAAAGGGAAATGGGAAACTTAACCTTCATGTTGTAGGGCGTATGTTACAGTGGTCTTCCCTGTGTTGACTTACTAATACTGTACGAGTCCCTCAGCTGAAACTGAGAAATCAGTTGAAAGAGAGAAATCAAATCCAGCCATGTCAGAAAGCATTATTTCCATCCTTATTAACGTGGATGAAATCTCTCTTTAGGTTGAGAATTTCTTCTGTATGGGATCTCCATTAGCAGTGTTTTTGGCGTTGCGTGGCATCCGTCCAGGAAACAGCGGTAGTCAAGACCATATTCTGCCCAGAACAATTTGTAACCGCTTACTAAATATTTTTCATCCAACAGATCCAGTGGTGAGTTTTAATTGCCATTGCAAGCTTTTACCTTGACTGTTTTTAAGCATCAGCTCTGTGATAATGTGTGATCTTCAAAGCGTGTGAATCAACGCAAGTATGTTCCAGCACAGGACTGTTTGTTATCGTACCGTGTCTTGGGTTTTGTAACTGTAGAATAACAGTTCCTACAAATAATTGCCTTAAATACCGTATACTTTGCTTGTCTTTTCATATTAATAAGCATAAGATTCAAGGTTACTCTGCTTTTTTGCAAAGACTTAAGAAATAATCCTCAGTCAAGTTCCAACTTGTGTTTAACTTACTGACTTCCATTAAACATCGTCTGTCCAAAGATGCTACTGCTGTTAAAAAAGGCTTCACAAGCACTTTACAAGATACTGTAGGAAAGCAAAACCACTGCTTTTTTTTCCCCCAAGGGGTCCAGAGTAACAGACTGTTAGAGAGAGGGTGAGATAGTGCTTGGGAGGGCAGGATTGGTATAGCTTCACCCTGTCCTTATACTCTTCCATAGGCAGATCTTGTTCAGCTCCAGCTACTCCAAAACCAGAATTTTCCTGGGACATCTAGGACGGTTGGTCAGGCTGTAATCTGTGGTCCCGCTCTGCAAATAGTAACTTGACTTAGTTTTCAGATAAGGAAGCGCAGAATGCTTTTCTACCTCAAAATAAACAAAGAAAAATAAAGAATCAATAGAAAATTATTTTTTAATAAGCACACCAGTTCATGGTTTGCATGGGGATCAATGAAGAGTGATCAAACAAAATGTTTACATAGCCAGTTCCTCCCTCTCTGTTGTGCTGTGGGGAGTCAGCCTAGCTGCATATAAAGTTTGCTCTGTCAGTGTTTAATAACAAACGTCTGTTAACAGTAACTGGTGCGTTCGTAACAAGGCGTGGCAGAAGTGTTGCAGAGAAATGTGCAAAAGGGAATGCACAAGCAACTGGGCAGCTAATGTGTCTTCCAGGCTGTGAAAATAAAAGTGAACCAGAACGTAATGCCACCATTCTGTCACTTTGTAGGCTTCACTCATTACAGATATTTTGGATTTGAGGTTGGAAAGGGCTCTGTATGGGAAGGGGAGGGGGTTTTTCCGTCTCTACACTCAGGATTTTCTTTTCTGAATTGCTCTCGCAGGCCTATAGGTTAGAACCGTTAATTCTGAAACACTACAGCAACATTTCGCCTGTCCAGATCCACTGGTACAACACTGCGAACCCTCTACCTTATGAGCACATGAAGCCAAGTTTTCTCAACCCAACAAAAGAACCTACCTCAGTGACAGACGGTGAAAGTGTTTCAACCGGGCCAAGCCCAACGACTTCACCGGTCATGGTTCGACGCCACTACGGGGAGTCTATAACTAACATAGGCAAAGCGAGTATATTGGGTAATTGTTCCTAATGTCCTTTGTTTTCTGTGTAGGACCTTCTGGTAGAGCTTTGCTGCTCCGTGGCGTTGGAGGTGCAACCATAAGCAAACTCTTCCTGGCTGTCTCAGTTTGTTCTGCGTAGCTGTGTGGTTTGTTTTAATCCCAGCTGACGTTTAACTTTGAAGAAAAGATAGTTTACGTACGCTGGAGTCAAGGCTTGTGGGGAGAGGATGTGGGTCAGGGAGTTTATGCTGTTGCTGTCTTGTTGTTGCCTGCCTTATTGAAGTAACATCCTGGTGATTTAATAGTTTCCACTCTGTGGAAAAGAAAAAAAAAAAAAAAAAAGATTAAAGCTTGTTTTGTGACTACATTTTCTGGTATTGGCAAAGAGGAGAAAAATCACTCTATTGTAAGCTATTACCGTTCATTTAACTCATGATTTTACAATAGGAAATTCAGGCTGCTTTAATATGAAGTCTATCCCCTTCTGGCTTTCTGATTCAAAATAAACCCTGGTTTAAGTGAGCTTAAATTCACTTGCACTGGAGCTTATATTTGAGCTTGCCCTTGCAGTTTTTGTTGACCCAAGGCTTTTCTTTCGCTCTCTACGTGGGATTTGGAAGAAGGCTAGTGCCAGGAATCTTCCCAATCAAATAAGTAAAGCATATAAAAGCAGTTTAGTCCTTAAGTAGAAATATGTGGTATTTCAGAGGAGGGTTGCTTTGGGCTGTGTGACTGTAGGAACTTTAATGTGTTGTCCATAAGGTGGCAGCAAAGTCGGGAGAAAACATCACAGATCTGTTCTTAACTTCTACACCCCCCCTTCCTGAACAACCGAAATAGTCCTTTTAAAGGATGATGTAGCGTTTCTAAATGTCTGTGAGGTTGATGCCAACAGAAGGACCCTTAATGAGAGGAAAGTCTTAAATGTCCTGATGGGATTCTTCTGTGCAGAAGGTACTAACATTGCTATAAAGCGTTTGTGTCTTGGCCTTAGGGTTTTCGTGAAAGAGGAGTTACAACGTTATCTGTAAAAGTACCAGATTTCTTGCTGCAGAAGTGTTCTCGTGTGTTTTTATTCCCCGAACTACAGGTTCCAAATTACAGCCTTTGCTCGTACGCTAGAGTAGCCTCACGGTAAACAGTGTACACTCAAGTCAGATGAGCTGTTCCCACCCTAGAAAAGCATGAGTCGTGTTTTCCTCCGTCTTGTCACTCAGCTCTAATTGACGGCTGCTACAGTGACTTTAATTTGCAGTTTAATTTAGCTGCCCTTGTGCTTGGTTGTGGTTTTCTTTTTTCCCTCTGTGCTGAATGCAGGCGCTGCGAGTATTGGGAAGGGCCTCGGCGGGATGCTTTTTTCCAGATTCGGTCGATCTAGTCCAGCCACCCCACAGACACTGGAGACGGGAAAAGATGGGGCCGAGGGGGACGACAAGAAGGCCACAACTGTTGGGACGCCGCCTCTCCCGCACAGCAGCTCGGGCTTTCTCGAACCTGCAGGTTAGTGACGAGCCCACCTTACAAACCCTGTGGAAACAAGGGCTTTGGTGGGCTGCCTCTGCAGGTTGTGGGAGGCTGGAAATACCATAACGACATAATGCTGCTGTTGGATTCTGTTGGTTTGCACTAAAGTGATAAATATTGAATCTGTTCCTGCTTTTTGTATCTCTTAAGACTGCCCAAGGACTGACTTTTTGTTCTTCTTTTAATCTTTCTTTCCTCTTAAAGGAGGTTTGTCTGTATATGTGTTTGCACATCCATGCACACCACATATATATATGAATATACATGAGTTTTGGCTAATGAGATCAATGTATCAGTAGTTCCTAGACTCCCACTAGGAAAAGCAATATAATTGCTGCAGAGAATCCCCCTCACCATTTATCATTAGCTGGATTTATTTAAATTTCCTCATACATTTGCAGTTCTGAAGCAATCTGGATTTAAAGGCACATATGACTCAAAACAGAAGCTGCCCTTGTCCTGCTCTGAACCACCCAAAACAGAAAGTGTGATTTGAGCCGCTGGGGGTTGTTTTTTTTTTTTTTTTTTGAAAATTATAGGTACTTCCTTTACAGAAAATCCTACATGATATTATTTCTAAACTTCTCGTTGGCACTGTTGCAAGGCAGGGGTTTTTGCAATCTAAGGAGTCACAAGTATGTTGTATCCTGTGACGGCGTTCACATGACACATTTACATTACTGTCTGTTCATCACTGCTCATTTCAACAGATAACCTGCCTGCGTCAGTATTCGAGGGCACAGACTTTGTCCTAAACTTGAGGAGAACAGAGTGGCCTGACAGCGAATACTGTAGAG